ATGAAATTTACACTTGAGGTCCTCACGATTTTATGTTCACGTGTTTTGGTCCTTTTATTTTGAATTAAAATCATAACGGTCCTTCTGAAAGCGCATGAAGCTTCAATAACTGTTTCTGCAAGTTTTAAATTTTAGTAACTGATTTGTAATTTTAAGGTAAGTTCAGTGACCGTTTTTTAAATTAACCCATTTAGATTTCTTGTATCAAGTGCATAACTAATACAAAAGGTTGAGTTTTAGAAAACTGAAAACTCGCTAGAAAGGGCTAAATACATGTGTTTTCTTAATATATAGAAGTGAAATAATTTCTTATGGTGTACTGAATACATCACAAGCTGGAGTAAGAAAAAATGATCTGATAACAGTAGCTTGAAAGTATGTCCCACAAAATTAGCCAGACCTGAGCAGCATATCTCCTCAGAAGTCGAAATTGTTCCGTAATGGTTCCAAACAACAATTCCTTCGTATATTGCCTCATCTTGCATGCAACATTTCTATTTATCTCCGTCTTCGGGTCTTTCTTTCACGATTGCCAAAATGGACTTTGTTTTCCAATTAGAATTTGCCTTCCTTAAACAGCTGAACATATCTTTAGGTCAAGAAGATATAGTTGCAATGTCTATTGTGTTGGTCCCGTGTGCATGTGTGATTAGGCACATAACTATACATGTCCCATTCAACTTTGAAGCCCATATCCTCCAATTACACCCCATTTGTAAACTCCTTGAGCTAGTGTTCTATCGTTACATTTGAATCTTACATTATACCCACTCCTCCGCATGTTCTCACTGCATTTTGAAACTCCTGCATTGGCCGAAAGAGTTGTTCGACCCTCAAACTGTGGATTTCCCATATTTGTCTTAGCCAAAAATTCCGGAAAGCGATAACCAACCTCTTTGTCCAACGAGCAATCCAATAATAACTCTTTAAATGATGGATACTCCAAGTCATCGACTCTATTGTCATTTTCTAGCTCTCATACAAGCATCACTTCTCTTTCATGTCCCACTTCATTCATGTTTGGTCCAATGTCGATGCCATCTATCACATTGCAGTTGTACAACATATCATCTTTCTCTCAAGACATGTCAACATCGGAATGAAGGAAATCAGGGTCTTCCACATACTCTGTCAACAAATTGAAAAAATAGAATTATTTATGTCTGGTTTACAAATCGCATATAATCAATATCTATTTTAACATGAAATCAATATAACTATGAATACGTTTTGATTAAACGCAAGAATAAAGGAAACATATGAAACAAGAAAGAAAAAATGAATTGCAACAAATTTATCACACAAAATTGTGGCAAGAATAAATAATGGAGAAAAGGAAATCCTTACTCACTGTAAGTTAATATCTGAGAGGAGCAATTTGGAAAAATTAAGCCTACCAACTAACCAACTAGGTTTCTGGGCATAATTATTACAAACCATTACCAGGCAACTTCTAGCTTTCGAGGCATAATTAGTGCAAACAGACACAAGGCACCTACAGGAACCTGTTATATTATTGCATCTATTCGGGGCATATTATTGCATCAAATAAAGAGCGGGCTTCACCTCTGTCAGCTCCATCTATGGGTAATGGGTGCAAATCAAAACTGAAGGTCGACTTGGTTTTGAGAATGAATTTGGGATGGTGGATTCTAGATTACAATTTCTTCCCAGCGTGATTTAAGAAGGGAAAAAAAAAAAAAAACACACTCTTACGTGGAAGGAGTACAGACACCGTTTGCCGCCACGTTTGCGTTCCATCCAGCCACCTGGGGCTGGCCACCAAACGAAAGTGTTATCAGTGATGGATGGAGGGAAGCCTGTTGTAAGTTCAGTAACCTCGTAGAGGAATCTGATAGTTACAGTGGCCTTAACGTGACAAAGTATCAAGTTGAATGATCAATGAAATTTTTTACTCCCATTTTCAGTCCCCTCACCTCAACCCCACCCCCGACCGTACATATACATACACCACCATATCTCTATTTCACATCTCTCATTCTCTCTCTCACACACACAGAGTCGGGGTTTCAGTTTTGTGTCCTTAACCCCTTCAACCCACAGCTTACGTGTCCTAATGACCAGAATGACCTTATCCTACCACCACTCTCTTTCCCCTATCCTCAACCCCTCCTCCACCCACACTCCCCACTTCCTCCCCTTTCCCGCTACCCTCCACCACCACCAATCCCGCTTCTGCCGCCGCCTCTCCATAGTTTCCAAGGCCAAGACCAAAGAACTCATTTTGGGCAACCCAAGTGTGACAGTGGAAAAGGGCAAGTACAGCTACGATGTTGAGACGTTAATCAACAAGCTTTCTAGCCTCCCTCCCCGCGGCAGCATTGCCCGGTGTCTTGACACCTTCAAGAACAAGCTGTCTCTATCTGATTTTTCGTATGTTTTCAGGGAATTTGCCCACCGGAGCGACTGGCAGCGCTCGCTTCGGCTTTTTAAGTATATGCAGCGCCAGGTCTGGTGCAAGCCGAATGAGCATATATACTCCCTTATCATTGGCATCCTTGGCCGCGAAGGCCTCTTGGATAAATCTGCCGAAATCTTTGATGAAATGGTAACCCATTCTATCCCTCGGACTGTACTTTCATACACTGCGATTATAAATGCCTATGGCCGCAATGGCCAGTACGAGACTGCACTAGAGTTACTTGATAAGATGAAAAAGGAAAGGATTATTCCAAACATTTTAACTTATAACACTGTTATTAATTCGTGCTCCAGAGGTGGATATTCGTGGGAAGGGTTGTTGAGTTTGTTTGCAGAAATGAGGCATGAAGGGATTCAGCCGGACTTGGTTACATATAATACACTGTTGAGTGCATGCGAAAGTAGAGGTTTGGGGGATGAGGCTGAGATGGTGTTTAAGACAATGAATGAGAGTGGAGTTTTACCTGATATTACTACGTATAGTTATTTGGTAGAGACTTTTGGGAAGTTGAGGCAATTGGAGAAGGTTTCGGAGTTGCTCAAGGAGATGGAAGCAGCAGGGAATTTGCCAGAGATAATGAGTTACAATGTGTTGTTGGAGGCATATGCAGATTCCGGAAAGATAAAGGAGGCGATGGGGGTGTTTAGGCAAATGCAGGCAGCAGGATGTCTGCCGAATGCAGGGACATATAGTATTTTGTTGAATTTGTTTGGGAAGAATGGGAGATATGATGATGTGAAGGAGCTTTTTCTTGAGATGAAGGTGAGTAAAACGGAGCCGGATGCTGATACCTACAATATACTTATAGAGGTGTTCGGTGAAGGAGGTTATTTCAAGGAGGTGGTGACTTTGTTCCATGATATGGTAGAAGAGAATGTTGAGCCAAATATGGAGACTTACGAGGGGTTGATTTTTGCGTGTGGAAAGGGAGGGCTTCACGTGGATGCGAAAAGAATTCTGCTTCATATGAATGAGAGAGGATTGGTACCGAGTTCCAAGGCATATACCGGGGTGATTGAGTCATATGGTCAAGCGGCACTGTATGAGGAGGCTCTTGTTGCTTTTAATACAATGAATGAGGTTGGCAGCAGGCCAACAGTTGAGACCTTTAATTCTATGATTCATATGTTTGCTAAAGGGGGCCTTTACAAGGAAAATGAAGCAATTCTGTATAGGATGGGTGAATTGGGTGTTCCATGGAATAGTGATTCATTTAATGGTTTGATCGAAGGATATAGGCAGGGAGGAAAATTTGAAGAGGCCATCAAAGCTTATGTTGACATGGAAAAGTCGAGATGTTCTCCTGATGATTATACCCTTGAGGCAGTCTTGAGCGTATACTGCTTTGCAGGTCTTTTAGACGAGAGTGAGGAACAGTTTCGGGAAATTAAGGAGCTGGGTATACAGCCTAGTGTCATGTGCTACTGTATGATGCTGGCTGTATATGCAAAGACTGACAGGTCAGACTTCAATTGACTGTTGTTAGATTATTCATTCATTTTAAATATGCATAGTTGTGCTATCTTTAGTTATCCTTTTAACTGAATCAGAAGAACTAACAGAGTGTTTTCTTTCAAATATGTGTAATTTATCTCTCTTATATACTGCAAACTAAGTTAACTTCTTGGTGCATGTTTTCTTGATATTTTATTAGGCTTTCTACAAGTTTGTATATGGGTTTGTCCTCTTTGTGATGCAAAGTCAATTAAACCTTACTGACCTGTCAAAAGGATACCGTCCTTATTTCGTAGTATATTCTTACTGGATCTGCTGAAAAATTAGAACTTCAGTGAATGAATTGAGTTTGTGAATTTTCTGCCATGGTAATACTTGTTGAGCCTAGCTCTGAGTTGAAGTTTTCTGGGGTTCTAAATTGTTTTGTATCGTTTTTGATGCTTTGGAGCACTATTTCATTGAAATTTTCTGAGCAATAAATACAACGAGATAGTAATTTTCATCTCTTTTTGTCAATTTTTTTTTTTAAAATCTCAAATTTCTTATTTTCAGGTGGGACAAGGCCAATGAATTATTAAAGGAGATGCTTACAAACAGGGTATCCAATATTCACCAGGTTATTGGACAGATGATCACGGGAGATTTCGATGATGCCAGTAACTGGCAGATGGTAGAGTATCTCTTTGACAAACTCAAATCCGAGGGCTGCAGCTTGGGGATGAGGTTCTACTGTACACTTCTAGAAGCACTTTGGTGGCTGGGTCAGAGGGAAAGGGCTGCGAGAGTGCTGAATGAAGCAACAAAGAGGGGAATATTTCCTGAACTATATCATAAAAACAAACTTGTATGGTCTGTGGATGTTCACAGGTATCAATGGCTTTACAATTGACTTTCTTTCTTCAGTGGATAAGAAAAAAAAGTGAAACGTAGATTATTTATATTTGTGCCGCAATATTCATAACGTGTTTCCTGTGTTTGATGTTCATTGTATAGGATGTGGCCGGGTGGTGCATGCACGGCAATATTAGTCTGGCTGAATAATATGCAAGAGATGTTAGTAACCAGTGAGGATCTTCCTCAACTGGTGACTGTCGTCGTGGTGTAAGTTTTTTCCTTAACAGTATTCTCTCTGTCATTCCCTTCAGTTACTTTTTCTTTCCGTAATCTAGTATGTTCATCTTTCTGGGAGTGGTCAGGGAAGAGTTGTGCTCTTGGATTCTGTCTATTGGACCTATGTCTGATGGAAAGGATTGGAGAGTTGTGCTCCAGTTACAGGTTTGTAAAGGATTGGAGAGTTGAACCCTGATGAATGTGGACGATCGTGCCCTCATTTTGGGTTGTCTTGCTTGTAGTTTACTCGCTGCCAATTATGAGGATTTAACATGACTCCCTAATTTGTACATGTGCAATGTCTAAAAAGTTGTAATCAGTATTGAGGCATTTTCCTTCATAAGGTGAGGCCTAATCCTGGAAACCAAAAAAATGTATTATTAAAATGCAAAATAAGCTCATAATGCATCATAAACAATCGTAATTAAAAAAAAAAAACTAGAATAACAATATAAGAGTACAAACAAACAAAAGAAAAATTTATAAAGAAACTATTTTTTTAGTTGGTGGGGCAGTGGACTATTCTCAAAGTGAGTCTACGAGGAACACAATTTTTTACGTTTTAGGGGGCATTAAGGTGGGTTTCAATTGGATTTTTTATGATGTGTGAGCATGTTTGCTAAGCTGAAAAGTTAACTTTTTTGAATAATTTTTCCTTAAAACGACATTATTCTTCTGTGTCAAGCAGACGGGGACAGATGGAGAAGAGCTCAATAACACGAGATTTTCCTGTTGCAAAGGCTACCTATTCTTTGCTGAAGGATAGTGTATCATCGTCCTTTTGTTTCCCGGGCTGGAACAAGGGCCGAATTATCTGTCAAAAATCTCAGCTTAAGCGCATTCTCTCTAGTACTGAACCATCATCAGAGGTATCAGATACGAATAAGATAGTCACTCTAAGTAACTCCCCATTTCCTCGTCTGGAAACAAAAACATCCATGGGTGAATTTAAGCAACATAGCAGCTCCGAGATTGAAGTCAGGATTCGGACAAATACGGAATTAATGCCAAGTGCAGCATGAAGGGATCAATAAAATTTGCAGTCCCACTTTTGGGTCCGCCCAACTTTCCTTGGGCTGTTGAAAACCACTTTGACAGAGTAACTGAAGAAACCAAGGGATATCCTGAGATGCTATGTTCAGGTGATCCCTATGGGTGAAGAATGAGCTGACTGTTTATATCGACCAGGTGAATAAGCCCAATTTTTCTGACTAAATGCAGCACTGATCTAAGGTTGGGGAAGTTTTATCGGGCTGATTGCTTACTGAATCAAGTGTTATTCTCTGGCTTAGTGGCAGGAAATCTAAATGACATTATAACATTTGGCCTATCATTACCCCACAAAAGCTCATGTGTACATGTATTCTTATGTTAACTCTTTTTGAACTTTTACAGACTAATCTGATGTGAAAAAAGCGGAGTCTTCCTATTCCTGTGTCTAATTTTGTTCAATGGATACTTATAGGAAACTGCAATAGGGCTGTGGTTTCAGACCGACGGGAGGGTCCTGGTTCCAAGACTTATCTGGGTGTAGAAATGGACGACGGCATAACAATGTTGGAAGGATGCTATTTTCATGGATTTTTGGCTGAGGGACTCGTTGGTTTTGCATTTATTGTTCATGGATATATATATATATATCTCCTAGAAAATATGAGAGGAAAGAATTGCAGATATACTAGTAGCATTGTGGTTGCATTTATAAGCCTTTCAAAGCTACAATTTCAATAAAACACGTTAGAAGACCGAAGGAGAAAAATAACTTGGCAAAATGAAGTGAAAAAAAGGGTTTCTTCTAGCAGCTGCTCCAAAACTATTGGGTATAAACCTTGGTGGCGGTGGTTGTTTTGTGCTCAATAGAATCTCCCTTTCGGTTATAGCCAAAGAAATAGCTACTTACTGATAGGAAGGATCCCATTTATCCATAGGCCGACTTTTGGAAGCACTTCGTTTAAAATCACTTGCACTTTGATAATTTTGCTGAATAATCAGCTTAGAGTTATACCTATGTAGATAACCACGTGATTAATAAGGTGTTTTAATTAATTAATGTCTCTCTTAATCTGATCACATTGTTTTGTACGCCTATGGCATGTTTGCTAAAAAGAAGTGTCCAAAGAAGTGCGTCTAGCCTCGAAAATTAACCTTGCTGTTGGTCACACTTTACATTTTTTAGAACACTGCTATAGAGTAGTAGAAAGCATTACAAAAAAAAAAGCTTATTCATTATATGTATAGTTTTGTTCAATGATACTTCTAAGCTCTACTTGTAAATAGCCAGAAATGCATAAAATCATGGATTAATATAGAGATATCTACACTTTTTACCATAAAAACATAATTTCCTTGCTCAGCAATAAACAGAAAGAACCCAAACTTCCTCTTTTTTTTTGGCTCAATACAACTGGGTTGAAGGTGTTCTGTACACAGTAAAAATGAAGAAAGGTCTATCACAACTCACAATGTCATTACACTGAAACCCAAATATGACCCAAAACTGATTTTGCCTCAGAAAAAATTGACCAAGCCCAACATGATTTTGACATTCTTACAGATTGTATACTAGTATAACTTGCAAAACCAAGACAATACAAACCCTCTCTCACCCATTTCAACCTATATAATTTGGCAAATGATGACCAATCAAGTAAAATTGCCTCAAACTCAAGACAGAAGGGCTGAAAAAAAGTGCCCTTCTTTCTCTCTCTCCACTATGATACAGGAACTATGTTCAACTCATAGGGCCTCAAGGCTCCTTGAACAATCTCTTGAACTGATCGATTGCGACGACAAACCTCCGAAAGTTCTTCAATTGGAATCATCACCCCATTGATAGCCACCCCAGATGCCGCATCTGACAAAGCTTTCAAAAATCTTGATTTTTCGACTTCTGTAACAGCGGTCGACGGAATTAAGGAGATGCTCTCCTTTGCCCACTCAAGAGCTTGTACTCCGTAAGCTCGAACAAGAGCTAATAGAGCATATGTTACCTGCAGGGCAAACGATAAAGTTTCCAGGAAACAGATCCAGTTATCTATGTCAACTCTGGACGAATCATAATCAAGGGGTGGAAGTCCTTGTTACCGTTTCTAGTCGAGAACTTGGAAGTGCTCCGGTCAGAGCAGCAACAAGAAGTCGGGAGATAATGGCCCCTCTTGGGATAATTACGCTGTCCCTGATAGATAGGTAACCCTTCCCTTGACTAGAGTTTGCAAGATCAAACACATCGGATAGGAAATTCAATATAGACTTGGAGGCCTCCCTGCAGAGGAACGATAATAGCTTCAGTTATTTTCCAAATCTGCCGATTATTTATCAGAAAGGAAATTGGAAGCCCGTATTTGAGGGGCCATGGTACATGGTCATCCTCGACTAGTTTCCATCAAAACAGTGCTATGCAGGTAAAGCCAGGTAGCTTAAGGCAAACATAAAGTGACTTTTAGCACAAAATCGAGGCCATTTTGGGTACATGTGAAGCAGCTACAGGAGATTACCAAGTTACATCAATTAGTGCAGTGGTTGTAATATTTATCTAACCTATGCCCACAATAAGAACCAGAAAAGGTGACTTCTAGCAAAAAGCGGGCACGTGAGATGTAGCTACAGAATAGTAGTGTGTTACAATATTGTGGTCAAATTATTGTTAACTCGGCTGTGAATAAATCTAACCCATGCCTCCATAATAAGAGAGACGCCATTAGAGAGCATGAAGCATGCAACACCCAGAGTGTGGACAAAAGTCTACCTGGGGTTAGTCTTGAGCAATGCCACTTGCAAAAAATGGAATAGATATTATCTAATCTCGTAACCCATCAAGTATTCCACCATCGAGTAGGCAAAATTGACGATGTCCTCATCTTATATTGCTAAAGTTCATCTATTTACCAGAAGTCGACATTGTACGGAATCAGTGATGCTGAGTCATCTCAATATACAAAGAGGATTGCATGCAACGAGCTTGATTTTAAGGGATATTAGCTCATAAAATTCATAAAACATGCATGTCCAAGCAAGTGCTTGGATATGTGTCTCAGGAATCACACAGAGAGAGAGAGAGAGACTTAACCTGTGTTGTACTGTGATGCCTATCATCGAACAATCCACCAAGGAGGGAAATACAGGAGATGGGAAAAATAATTGAGGACAATATCGTATACATCTAGATGACAACAAGAAACAATCATCTACTATGTCAGGTCGAGAAGTAAAGTCCTGAAAGAAGAAATGAATCTCATCAAAATCAGTTAAATAGCCAAATCTAGAGGAGTCAACAATATATACTTGGTGAAGCCATACCTGAATTTTCGTCAGCATACACGTCGTATGGCTAAAGAGAGATTCGATCAGGTTCTTTAAGTAGTCTGTACAAGAAGGATCAGACCCAAACATCTGCAGCAAAAGTTTTGCATATAGGTGATGATAAAGAATTGGAAAACAGAAATAAAGAAACAACTATGTAAAAAAGAACCTTGATAACTTCACTGGAGAGGTAAAGGAAGCATGGCTGGTGATGTTGCTTGTATAGTCCTTGTATCTCCTCTAGCATCACACCGACTGTAACTCCCATGAGCGTTTTAGAAGTCCTCACCTAGAAAAAGCAGAAGGTAATCTGGAAAACTGGCAATACAGTAAGGAAATATAACAAGCAACTTCATTGTCATGGCATTTCCAGTTTTTTTCCACAACTATGTGCCCTAAGTAGAGGATATAGTCCCAATGTTACAAATAAAATTAAAATAATAATCATCAAATGAAGAAAGGATAAAGTTCCATTGTATAAGATTCAGTGTTAACTAGATCAATATAACTGGCAAGTGATGGCATCATGACATTGCTTATCAATTATTATTAAGGGATCTACACAACTTTCTAATTAAATCACTGAAACACAAAAGCTTATGTGCATAGATTCCAGAATAATCAGGAATAATTTATACAGGTCATACAACTGTTAATCTTAATTACATCATAAATTATCCTAGAAGGGAACTGGAAATGTCTAGTGTCTTCTTTAAATAAGACTTGCAGCACATCCAATACATTCAAGTAATATCAATGTTGCTTGGACTTGGCTGCAGGTGTCCAATACAGGCCTTTTTCTGAAAAGGGCTAAAAAGGATCCAAAATTTAGACATGGGTACGTCTTAAGAACTTGGAACATTTTTAAGAAATTTATATTCTAATAATTTTAGATGAATCAATTTATTATAAAAGATCAGATATGCATCCCATAGCTTTATCCTTGTCATATCATGTCATACTTCCTCCAAAATAGAGAGTCCAGCAGCGCAGAGTAATACAGGAAAGACAACATATGCAAGGTATTTATACATTGAATCGGTAGCTGGCTATAAGTAGGTCTGGTGGATCACAGGACATTAGCAGTCAGAAGACATGCTTCACTAATATGATAGAAAAGAAATACTAGCATTTGATAAGCCCGCAAGAGATATAATACACTGATCCTGGAGGTCATATCATGGTTTCAAAGACACTATCCTCATAATCACAGGAAAAAGAAAATTTCTTTTCACGGTACATAGAATACCGTAGATACACCAATTATAATTGTCTAAAACCATTCAAGATTGTTAATGAACTCCAGAACCTCTGAAATATAGGCACAGTCAATAGCTAGGCAATCTTACAGCATTTTTACATGCCCGGCAAAGAGATTCCATGGACCGCATATCCCAAGCACGACTGCAGCAGCATACTTTAGATTCAGTTCATGGGGGTAAACTATATAACATGGTATAAGAACATTATCTACAAAAATAATATTAATACTAACAGGTCAAAAATGGGTTTGAAGATAGGCCAAAGTCTTTGGACTGCATCTGCAACAGCTTCCGGGTGATTTACATGTCTGAAAAAGTTAACGTTTCACAATAAGATTATTTAGATAAATTAAGAGGAATGAAGACATAAACAAATAAATGAATGCCATGCCTAAAAATATTTGCAAGTCGATCTATATGAACCGTTAGCTCACGAGCAGGTTTTTGCCCCAGCACCAAAGGCCCTTGATTTATAATATCCTGTCAGTTGACCATAGAAATTAATTAATAGACCCACAAAGCTAGTAGTCAAGAATGTCTAAAGAAATGCTAACCTGCAAGGGAGTGACATCTGGCAAGCATAATGCCTCGAGGGCTTTCTTAGCATGTTCTGAAGGAAGTTCTGTGATAACCATACTGCAGAAAAGATGTTCAGACAATTAAAGAAAGCACTGACTTTGCATTATTTATCTAGATTCTAGAAAATCAAAACATACCTTAGAGCTTCTACTAAATTTAATGAATCTTCAGCAGAAACCTTGAAGGCAGTCTCCCCAATCACAGCCCTTTGGTATATTTGAAAGAGGCCATCTAAGGACCCACTGAGCTTTTTCTTGCAATCTACAGTCACAATAAAATATATTGATAATAAATCTTAAAATAATTTTTGTCATCTATTTTTTTGTAGCTATTATCAAGTATAGCAGTGGGCTCCAAGTTCATGTGCTCAGGTGAAAAATCAGAACTAAAGAAATATTATGTACACAGAGAAGTAGTGTTTGGGTACAAAAGAATTATATAAACACGAGGACTGCGAATAAATTTCCAATACACATTCTAGAAAATTAGTCCATTAGTGTTATCAAAAGGAAACATAAAAAACAAATCACCATCCACATTCTCCTTCACCATATAGCCGTCGTTCAGTCTGACGAAAATAGTAAAATTTTCTTGACCAAATAGATTTTCCACTTCATCTCAATTAACTCAAAAGGATCTACTTATCAGTTGTCACACTGCAATATTTTCTTATGAGTATCAATCTGGCACTTTCCATCCAAATCAGTTTGATAAGTTCGTGGATCCACTTTTCTTTATCCGAACAGTACAAACTCCTAATCCAAATTCAAAATTCCTTCTCTTCAAATTTTTTTGGCTCATCCAAGACATCCATGTGTACTGGGCGTGAATAATGAATGTATCAGTCAGGGATATAGAGCAGATTTGGTGTGTCCATGATTAACAGAAAGAAAATGTTGGCACCCAAAAAATCTGATTACACCATATTTTCTGATTCTTCCCGCATGGAGCAACACAAGTGACACAGTTTCCAACTCCTGTCAAGCTATTAAACAGATTTCTCCAGAAGTGTAACAACACCACCTCCCACAGCCGCTCTCTCTCACACACACACAGACAATCATTAAGAAAAAAGAAGCCTGGCTTTTCAGGCATGAATATCAAAAGTATTATTACATTTTAGAAGCCTCTTCGGGGGACATTTTCATGTACCATTTTGCGTTTCTGAAGGAATGATGATGTTTCTAATCAGATAACCTTCAACATTTTCTTACTGAGCCTTTTAAGGTAAGAACAACCTTTATTTGTAGGAAGTATTAACTGCATGACTTGACCAAAATGGGGAAAACCTAAAATGTCTATGTTTAACCTGTACTTTAAAAGCTTATCAAAAACTACAACATGAGTAATGACAAAAGCAGATGACACATATTTGATGTTTTCGTTGAATAACTGGTGAATGTTCTCAAATAATGGGCAAAAGAACAAGTTTACAATTTCTAAACATGTTCAATCAACATGTCACCAACTAAAACTCTCTCAAAACCATCCTTGCATCGTATTTTGTGTCAAGTTTTCGCACTCCCACAGACCCTAAACATTGAGAATATCAGAAAAGAAGAGCATCTTACAATCGCATATATGTCGAAATGCCAAAGCAGCAGCAGACGCCGAATCCTCTGACATGCTCATGCCACTAACAAGAATGTCTATGAGTGCGGGCAAGAATGAGAATCCGCTTGGTGCAGCATCAAGCCATTTTGAATAAGCTCCAATTGTTAAGCATACTGAAGAAACGGTGAAATAAAAATAAAGTGAGAAAAAACAATATTTCGAATGCCAAAAAGGTTTCAGCTCTAAGATACAAACAAATCCATGAACCCCATAAGGAGAGTTGACAATGGTATATTCAGAAAGGGACAAAATGGACACCTGCAAACTGTAAAGGGAGGAACATATGTTACCTGTCTGTAGCAGTTGTGATTGATGAGGAAGTTTTGGAAGCAAAGACATGACCTATACACAAACACATTTGAATACATGTTTAGTTGGATAATACATCACAAAGAAAAGAAGCGAACAAAAAAAAAAAAAACCAGAAAACATGGTAAAAGCAGAAAAAAAAGAGTTTATGACCCTGGGAAAGCTGAAAATCTAACAGAATCCTAGAATTTTCTGAACACAAAAGAAGAAAATAGGAAACAATTTGTAATTAAACCTAACACTGCATGTTGTGGTAGCAAGAAATTGAAGGAAATTTGAACCTGGGGCATCACTTCTCCTTCCACCACAGAAACATAATCTGATATTGCTCGCATACCATACAAAGCAGCTTCTGCTGGACGCCAATCAGCGTGCTCATTATTTCCAAAGCAACGTACAGCCTATGATATCATGAAGAAGAAAAAAGGAAACTCTGCTTAAAAGTTGACCAAAAAGAAAAATTATTAAAGAAAAAAGCCCTCACCTTGAATCACATTGAAAAAATTATTTTCCACAAAGAAAGAAAAAGGTTCAATAACCATATGAAATTAAATAAGTGCAAAAGGGAAGCTCAGCAAGAAACTACATTATTTCATTTCCTCTCCATATAAATATAAAACGATGAACAAATAGCATGTTTGCCGAGCTTATAAGTCAAAGTTACTTATAAGTAAAATTTTAAAAGAGAACACACATCGGGCTGTGCTTCTAAGTAACTTCTTTTCCTTACTAATGAGAAATATTAGTTGCTTTGACAGTAAATATATTATGAACAAAAAAAATTCTTGCAAAAAAAATATTTGAAAAAATTGGAAAGAATAATTAGTTAAATAATAAAAGTTTATGAATTACATAAATTCTTATTATTTAAAATTGCTAAAAAAATCTAATATATTAGGTTCATGATACCCTAAGTGTCGGTATGTGGATTCGAAATTGAGGATCCTGGATAATCTCTTCAATCTTTGATTCTTCGGGTCAAGACAAACCACTTCAAAGAGATTAGTTTAACTTGACAAGGCATAGGTAACAGGTTAGGTTTGAACATAGTATTAACAATTTTTTACTACTAACAATCTCATGTTAATTAATATTAATCCCAAGTATTAAAAATTTATTTAAACAATTTAGACATGAATAATCTAGTAAATATTAAACAATTCATTTATAAATGTCAAAATTTTATATTATTTCGAATATTATATTAAATTCTTATCTCTTCAATAAATTATTTCAATATTCATTACATCGCATACAATAAAAAAAAAATTAATTAAGAAATTGATAATTAAATCGGTATAGTTATAGTTTAAATAAAACATTTTAAAAGTATATTTTTATTGGTTTTATCAAATATTATATATTATATATTTTTTGTATTTTAACATCTTAATATCAAAAATTACTATACAAAAAATATTAATGTTAAATAAAATGAAGTAGAAATTCCATTTAGAAATAAGATGACTAAAACATATTATACTACACTATCAGTTATAAACTATGTATTTAGAATATTTGCAATTTAGAGGGTGTTTGGTGGGGATTAAAATTAGATTTTTAGTGGATTGTGATAGAAGTTTTTGAAATGTGTGGTTGAAAAGATGTGGGACCAATGAAAGATGTGTTTTGCAATTTAGAGGGTGTTTGGTGGGGATTAAAATTAGATTTTTAGTGGATTGTGATAGAAGTTTTTGAAATGTGTGGTTGAAAAGATGTGGGACCCATGAAAGATGTGGTTAATATTGATTGTTTGAGTTTGACTTAGATTAAAATCAGATTTTAATCCGACCCAAACAAACCCTTAAATTTTGAATAATGAACCTCTTAAACTTAAATCAATTTCATAAAAAAGCATAACGTCCTTTTTGGTCATTTGACAGTTTAACTCTATACATATGTAACTTTTTAACAAACATAAAATTCTCAAAAGTATCGTTAATCCGAACATATATATCCCGAAAAAGTACTGGTAAAACAAAATGGATGTGTCAAATTTCATGATATTTACAAATTCGTATGAGCCCATCTATTATTCTCGATAAACCAATTAAATGCAGCCACTAAACTATAAATAATATATGGGAATGTGCATTTAGGCAAGAAGGAGACAATGGGAAGAAAGATAGAGTGCAACTTGTAGCTTATTTTACTTATAAATTCTTTAAAGCCAAACATGCCAAAAGACATCATTCAAATTCGTGAAGATGTTACTTACTCCTCTTACATACCAGGAAGAAAGTAATATTTAATCTACAAAACTTGGAAATTTTGGACTAGAATAAAAATGAAAAATGGATTCCTAAACCGACATTTGTAATACCCTTTGAAAATATCTTGGGAATTCTTTATGGTCCATTTGAAACGAAATCTCATTTCACATGCCAACTCACGCATTAGCTGATCAGAAATATACCAAATAAAACTGACACAAACCAGGGACGACGCAAATTAGAGGCAGGAGACTCAGTTCAGCCCAAATACTCCCAAGCAACTCTTCCACCATGAAAGTAACCATGGGTTCCATTCCAAAACCACTTGGGTACTAAGGGAGTTGCCTAAACGATATAGGAAGTTTTTTTATAATAACGTGCAACAAATCGCTTCAGACCCCCAGCAATGGCATCCACTAGTCTTTCCAAATGCATCAATGGAGCCTTGAATCTCTTCCTTGTACATGCATAGGTTCTATTAGAATCCCACNAGTTGTTTGGCATGGTCCACGCTGTGCATGAGGGGGCGTATTAGAATCCCACATTGTTTGGGAAAATATAAATGATCCACTTAATAAGGTGAGGGCAATCCTCCCCTAATAAGCCGATTTTATTAGGTGGAATTAGGCCCAAAATCCTATCAAACAGGTTCAAAGCCTGAAATTTCACAACCCTCCCTTCAAAGCAACACAATTTGCCCACCAAACAGGCAAAATGTAAAAGCAATAGGAATTCCAGAATTATAAGACCAAACACGTTGTAAATGTCATTTATTAATATTTCAGCAGAGACATTTTACTTATCAATTGAAAAACAACTCACTCTCTCTACATCAAAGAGAACAGTACACACCTCAACAAGTTTCACATAAAGAATCCTCAGTGTAGCATCACCGCCTAAAACTAGGGCTGCATCGATAAGGACATCTGCAACAGCTGTTAACATGACAAAACTGGTCAGGAAAACATTTTGTGATAGTTCATCAGATAAAAATTCCAAAAAAATGTAGATGCAGAGAGCCTTTTCATCTTTCATTTTCACCAAACATAGAAGGCAAGTAAAGTGTAAAAAAGCAGCAACATTTATTCAAGAGCAATTTCCTAGTTGCAAGCACAAGTATAGAACTGAGCCACTACATTCTGCATTAACTGAATTTAACGACGATAAATGGATGTATCAAGCATTTATTTATCTAACCGAACAAATTTGAAACTGATGTACTTGGTAAAATAAAAACCAAACCGTGCAACACTACAGCCATAAACTCTTAACAATTAGTTTATGGAGAAAAGAATAACTACAGGAGCAGAGAATTCAATACAAGTATTAAGAGGTCACATTCCAACAGAAGTTTTAAGGTCGAGAATAACAGAAAATCCGAAGTGTTTGTCATTAATTGTTAAATTTTGACCAAAAGCTATGAATAGAGGTGTCAACTACGTACGGACTATTGTCTATAGAAGAAAGTTTCAGTTTACAAGATCAAAACAAAAGAAACCAGCAGAATAATAACAATCCAATGTGGTAGGTAGCTTATTAATCGGTGAGCAGTATTCTATCTATTTCCTACTTGCTCCTTTATTGTCTCGAAAATTCACAATGATGCCATAACTAAAGAAATTGTCAAACATGCTGTAGGCCAACATATTATCTATAGACATTTTAAACCATACCATATCTAGTCTGCTTAAAATCTTTTTGATCCTCCCTCGAAAGTTCTGAATAATCCTGGGGATATTCAACTTTGACACTAGCCTGTAAGGAAAAATTTATGTAGAAATCATCAATTAATTGTAGGCAGTCATTAAAAATAAAAGAGTATTTCCTTATTTTACAAGAGAAAAAGGAATAAAAGCATGTTTGTGCTGAAAAAAATCATCTCATGCAGAAACTATACAAGTAAATTGTAAAGAAATGCAAAACCAACTAGTTTTCAAAAGCCTATATAAAACCAATTACGCCAGAACACAGAGAAATGAAAATGTTCTCAAGTACTTGGCCCAGCAGGGCCAACACTAAGAAAGCTCCCACGACTGTTTCTTTCATGCCCTAGATTGAGCCTCAACCATTTATCGGTTCCTTTCATATGAAAAATCTTCAAAACCCTTGTTTCTTTCTTTGTTATAACAAAAAACTTGCACAATAAAAAAATTAAAACCCTCAACTTCTTTTGTTAAATTAGATAAATCGTGCAAACATGCAAGGAAGGTTCTCGCATGCTTATCCTACAACATAGAAGTGATTTCCCACCTGGTAAAAAGAATAGCAGCAATAGAGTTAATATTTTCCACCAAATAGTTCAACACGACAACCATAAGATTGTGCACATACTTTCTTTTCCAAATAAGAACAAATTGTATTATTAAAGATTGCAAAATGGTTCTTCTAAATTCAGCATTGGGAAGACTGCATAAAATTTCCAACTGTCTTTAGAAGAGTTTCTTCTTGAATTTGAAAGCGAATATTGAGAAAAGAAAATACTCACCAAGGAAACAAGTGATTCATAGGATGACCGGAAAACCTGCAATCGGCGACTTCTCTCCGCTTCTATCGATGCATCATTACCGTATGCTACATAAGAATCCCTGATCCATTAGAAATTTCAAAGTCAAGGGTTGCTTCAAAGCACATACTGAAATTAGAACTCAAAATAGTTTCACCTTTCGGTCAATATTATTTGAAGGTTATGCCAGAAGTTGAAAGTCATGGAAGCAATGTCAAATTCTGGATGGGAACAAACTTCGAGTAATGCATGCACAATCAACATAGATTCATCAGAACCTGAAGATAAAATCATTTTGAATGTGAGATTATCTCAGCTTATACTAAAAATGTTTGTACAGAATATGTGAGACTAAGTATAACAGAAAAAAGACACTTATAAACACTATCAGCAACATAGAGTTCAATAGAGAAGTAATAAAGCCGATGGGCTAACATTGACAGGAGAAGTTATGTACCAGTTGCAATCAATTCAACATATGCGTCCCCTATATCCGCAAATAAACGAGTAATTGCCTTCACATCCTCCTCATCCTTTTAGCAAAACACATAATCCAAGAAGATAAATCAAATATAATCTCAGATAAAAAGAAGCAAAAAAGAACTTCAAGAAATGTCACAGATGATTAATGACACTTGATATTATTAAAGACAAGGGGGAATAGGAGAAGAATATTAGAGATACATGTAGGTGGGGTGGGAATTTTCTCAAATCATTCACTGTATTTCGTCATATTATTGGTCAAACATGATTTAAAATTTCCTTGCATGTGTTGACATTACCACTCCCAAAATTGTCGAAGTACATGTTTGCAAGTAAAAGAATTACTTGTAAGTTTGACTTCCTTATAAGCTTATAAAACACATGTTATTTGATCAACACCTACAGACTTTAAGTACAAGTCAATTTGGTACTGACATTGATGGCTTTTGTGAGGCATGATGCAAACTACTCCAGTTAAATGATAGCATCAGCCCATGAAAACAAATAGGTGACATTTGAGTGTTTTATGACTTCACGAATGAAGAGGACAGAATGCCTTCTCCAAAACAGTAAGATAGTTCAGATCTTAAGGGTCATAAACCTCATCGAAATAAAAAGATACAATCTCAGGAAGATTATCACACCAGAAACGAGAGAGATTTATAGAAGCATTCTGAAATTATACCTTTGAAGGATCTAGTAGCTGTGCTTTCTGACTCATAACCTGAGGAACAATTACTTGAATTAAGGGCATCTGAGAGGCAACTTCACCCAAGTTTCTCACCGCTGTATAATGTATTAATTCCGAAATAACTGCCATCAACCAGCATAGTGATTAATAAAATGACTAGATGACAGCATAGATTCTGAATAATTGTAGATAAAAGAAAAGCCAATTGTATAATCTTGAATTAGGAAAAAAGGAACAAAAGAAAAGGCAATCATAGAGACAGAAGGCCAACGTGACTGCATTCTTTTTATTGAAAAGAAATATATTAATTTTATGAAGTAAAAGAGTTGAAATGTAATTGTTTACACAACTAAGAAGGAATAAGTTAATTCAAACAAACAATTATTTCCAAGCCAACAGCACATCTCAAAGCCAGGCTATTGAGGCAACAGGTAGCCTCGGTTAAAAATAAAGATAGGGAGACCACACTATCAAACATACAAAGTAGAATAAAATATTGTTCCCAAAAATTACTGGTATTGTTCTCAATTCAATTTGACAAAGTAGTTCAACTGCTCTAATCTCCAAAACCTAAGGTCAGCTAGCTGAGGAGTTAAGTATCAATTCATACAAAGAGGCTTCTCTGAAGCTGGAGTAAGGAATTATTCACCTCACTGCTCAAATAACATAGAATTTTTATGAAACAGTTTGCCTTATTTTGAGCTGCTGAACCCCTAAATCTAATTAAAACAAGCAAAATAAAGAAGAAAGAAGGGTAAAGTTATGTGCAGATACTTCTTTTTACCATAGCTCCTTCACAGAAGGACACAAGGAAAAAGATAATTCATCATGCTGTTGAGATTTAATGTAATATAAATACCGGGGAATTAAAAAAATATACACATCTAACTGGTCTTTGGTGGCAATGTTCTCAAGGACCTCAGATCACGCCAATGTCTTTCTTTATCTTAAAAGCAACAGAGAGTTTCCAAAATAAAAAGCTCAAAATTAACAGGAAGAGATTTGTGACAAGACAAGAAGAATAAAATAAGATTGCACAGCTATAGAATTATGGGAATGAGTTTGATTAACCAAATAATGCAAAGGCATATCCTTCGCTTTTCAATCAATAAGATCACTGGAAAAAATCAAAATTCCAGCAAAGTTTTCCAGTTTAAAATTGGAAACTGGGACAAAGAATGGAACCAAAGGGTTGTAGATGAAGAGTTGTCTCTATTCCAGGGAACATCAAAGCATGTGCAATAGAACAAAATGAAATACCATGGATTGTAAACAGATCACATTATAAACAAGTGTCTGATCACCGCACCAGGTATAGAACTAGACTAGAGCTTTATCAAACTAATTGGTTGCCTTGACATATAAGCTGCACCGTGAGCAATACAAGTGAGGGACCATATTATTTAAACACAGTATCAAAGCATGCAAAAGACCGTGTCTTTAATTTTGAGTTGGGGCTGCCAGTAGCCTCAATAGCCTTGCTTAGACAGATGTTCCGTTGGGCTAGAGATAATTCTGGTTTGATACAATGTGAAACCACCTCGTCTAAAAATATGTGATAAATAAATGTCATCTCCCTCTTACATAACTCTGAATTTGGAATTTTTCATTATAGTCATGCCAGAGTTGAACCTCATCAGTTCCTCCCAGAGTCTCCGCTTCCAATCAACCCACAACATTCTAAAAAATTGATGACTCGTCTCTTAGATATTAGATAGTAGGATCGACCTCAATAATAGTCAAACACAATGCTCTGTACACATAGATATCAAGATCTTGGTCAACAATATACTAATGTTCATGTCGTGTGGAAACGCCAATTCTTTAATCACGTGAGGTGAAAGACATCCTCACAGCCAAGTTCGATTTTCTCGATCGAATCAATCAAAGTAAATACACCAAATCAAGATAAGCCCATTGAGTATCCTTTATAAGGAGTTCAACCAATGAAGACTAACAAGTGCCCTCAGCACCCGCTATAGAATATCAAGACATCACCTAAATTCTGTATTTCAGGCCAAATAAACATTTTAATGCCCAACAGTATCAACTTGTTATTTGTGTTATTAAGTTCCTACATGAAAAACTATATATAGCTTAGAATACTTTTTTTTTTATAAGTAATCAGAGAATTTATTTATAAATCAAGAGATAATACATGAGAAATGTATTATCAATTTAAACAATACAGGAATGACATGAAATTAGGCAACCCTTCTATATGGTTATTAGCCACAGTATTAAACCAACTATACAAAGTAAGATAGAACAATTCTTTGAACTGCTCTGTAGTTCTTGTTTGGTCTTCAAAATAGCGGATGTTCCTTTCTCTCCACACGCACCATACAATGCATCCCGTAATAAGATCTCATACAATCCTACTATCCTTATCATGAAATTTCCTCATCCATGCCCGCACCACATCTTCAATTTGCTTAGGCATCTCCCAATCCAAATGTTGGGAAACAAGAATGTCGTTCCAAAGCCACCGAACATCATCGCAATGAATGAACAGGTGGTCAATCGTCTCCCCATCTTTATTACACATGTAACACCACTCGGTAACACAAAAACCCTTTCTTCGAAGGTTATCCACCGTTAACACTTGCCCCCGCATAACCGTCCACAATAAAAAGGCCACCCGTGGAGGCAATTTACATTGTCACACCATCTTCCATGGGAATGAGCTCTGCGCAGCTTAGAATACCCGTACAAGGTGATGTGTAATGACCCCCTGAGGCAGGGTTTGTGTTGGAAAACCCTCCTACCTCCATTTGACAGTGGGCACCATCTAATACAAGCCTGGTCTTAACAGGTCATTCACCGGTAACCTCAAGTGTTCTCTTAACTTTCTGCCACAAAAATTGTGATGTCCCTAAAAATAATTTATCCACAATTATAAAAGAAATTAATTATCAGAATGTGAAACCACATACTTCCAAGTAACTTAGTTATCTTGGAACCAACAAAACCACTGTACACTAACATGCCAAAGATAACAAATTCTGGGCGTCAACCAATCAATTCCAGCTCATTCCAGCATCCCAAAGCCAACTTGCAGTGTCCCATATATATGTTGCCTAGTTTCCCATGCAGTAAAAAAGTCATTAATTACCTACTTATCGAGCATGGAAAGATCTATGAGATCATCAACCCATATATGAAGGATGAAATAAAAAGTCCACATTGGTCCATGCCAGGACATGTCGAATTGCTCTCTTCCATGTTCAACCCAATCTTTTTTTATTCATGATTCAGATTCATCTTCCTAACTTTTTGCTTTTGGAGTCAAACCACAATTAAATTGATTGTACAGGAGAAACAATTTACTATCCACTTCTTGGAGCATATCATCACATGCAGATACTGAAGAAAGAGTATTTTGCTGGATGTGATAGCAATGATTAAGCTTTTAAGCTTATCAACTCTGCCATAATTTTTCCAGTTGAGTGAGGTATGTCGAAATTCATAAAATCTAACAATATATGGCACCGAAAACATTTTTATTCTTGAAGGAGTTCTATACCTAGGGGTAGACAGCAGTTTTATGCAATTCCTTAAAGAAGAGAGACTAGGCTTAACCATTCTATTGAGAAAGAGAATAAGTATCAGCAACATCACCACAGCTCTGCGCAAAAGATTGAAATCAGAACAATCTTATAGTTTCAGAAAGTCTTGTGTGAGAACTTGTGAGACTCTGTGCGTTGACAAACTTCTTTCGAAGAAACTCGCAAAGATGACATCACAGGCAGCGAAGCAACCAAAGAAAGGAATTTGAAAAAAATGGGGTTAGCTTGCACTATTCACTGTACCATTAACTGATGCCTCTGAGAGTATATCAGCACTCAAGCTTGAGAGAGCTGTAAGCACTAATGGGTGTGAAGCAAGGGTAGATGCAGGGATCCTGAAACCAATATATGTTTAATAAGTTCATGGATCCATATCAACAAGAGTTTAGGAAGTGAAGCAAAATTGTACTTCATACTCACTAAAGAGAAGCGTATAAACAGGCATAAGCATACATGTCAAACTGAGTATGCCCTAATTTGTATGCACCATGCAAAGAATACGTACTGAGCAGAATCTGACCATTCTAATCTTACGCTATAGATCATAGCGAAAAGGCCGGTATGATTTCTAAATCTCGTAGAAAACTCATGATATGAACAATAAAACTCACAATTTACACACATTACATTTTATATCCTGGTTGAATTGATAATTTTGCTATTTGAAAATGTTAAAATAATACGTGAAAAGACCTAAAAGCTGCAAACCAAACCATAAAAATTTGCAAATTTACACCTTGCTAAGTTCTAATCTTAACTCCTGTTTGACAACCATTAAAATGAATTTTTGGGGAAATGAGTTGTGGAATAGTGATTTTTTGGAGAATGTATGGTTAAAAAGTAGAAAAAAATTTGAGTTCATGTGCAGAATATTTTATTGTGAGAATGTGTGGTTGAAAATGAGTTTGAGAAAAAAATTTATTTTGTTTTAATGGTTGTCGAATAGGGGCTTAATCTACAAGTTATAATCTCCGATCTTATTACAGCAAAAAAATAAAGGTATTGACAAAACAATCACATATTCGGAACTCCAAGATGAACTATTTTTGACCCCAGCGATTATCTTAGGCACCCTCATTCGTTCCTACAATTCTTGATATCTTAGGCACCCTCATTCGTTCCTACTATTATTACAGCAAAAAAATAAAGGTATTGACAAAACAATCACATATTCGGAACTCCAAGATGAACTATTTTTGACCCCAGCGATTATCTTAGGCACCCTCATTCGTTCCTACTATTCTTGATATTTGATCCGTCCACTTTCCACACTAGTCAGTATCACTCTTCTATAATTGAGCCCATGGAATTGGAAAGAAATTGGTCCTGTTGAATGAATTACAGTTAATAGAAAAATGGTAACAAGACACAGTAGCCAATAGAGGGTTTCATTTCTGGCAAGTGAGAAGTTACTCCCATTCACCTAGAAAATCAAATGAGATCCTGCTCATGTATAGTGTTTCTCTAATAAATGCCAACTAAGATATGCTTCAACTCTTCAATTCCAAGCCCTGACTTCCACTGCGACAAGCCAACTTAACATCTCTATGGCAGAGTCCATCGTGTTTAAAGACATTTTGAAAATGATGATGCAATATACAGCGACTAATTCCTAAAATACTTGATCTCCCATTTCAGATTTGGGACTAACGGCAAATGCAAACAACATAAGTAATACATGCCAGACGATCAAGTTGTAGAGAACTGAAATTCAATATGTTAAAACATTGGGTGAAAAGGGAACTAATACCTATGCCTCAGCCGCAACCAAGATGCAAATGCCTCGAGAACCTGCCATGTAATAGAAAAATTAGAGAGACAAAAAATATAACAGCAAAGAAATGAAAATTTTCCAGAAAGTTAATTGCCGATAACCATCATGATTAATTTTATGAAGTGTGTTGAGGAAGCGTAGGTTTTTTAAGTAAATTTAAAATTAATACAACCATTAAGGATATGCTAAATAATTCAAATGATCAAATCGAAACGAAAAGATCCAAAATTTAATCATCTACATGTGCATGTATAGATGAAAAATAATAGAATTTCTGACTTACATTTCTCTAATAAAAATTTACAAATTATAGAGTACAATGACCACTAATTCAGGAAACTAATTCTATACAAAGAAATAGGCAAAAAATTTCTCTAGGAGATATTAGACCTAATGGCCAGATTTTTAGCAATTAAATTATGAAAGTAATTAATCTATTTACGACTACACAATCTTGGAATCAAAATCAGGGATTTAATTCCTTTTTTCCTTGTCAATACGGAGAGCAGTCGTCGCCGGCAAACATATCCTTGGAGATTTTTTAACAGCATGCATGCACGAAACTCAATTCGATTATAAAAAATATGATTACGAGGGCATGATTATTAGGGATGCACTCTACCACATAGCTAATAGCCCATCGTGCGAGACCTATAACATCGTACTCTTACATTGACACCGGGGCTTGAAACAAATCCAAGTGACCTCACTTCAATCATGTTTTAAGCATCACTTCACCCAATAAAGCATTTCTTTCAATGTTTATCTCACTCGCTCAAGATATCAATTGTCACTTAATCCATCTCATTGCACATGCATTGAGCATAATGTAAAATTTTGACACATTATCAAATGACAAAATGATGACAGGTCCTCGATAAACAAATTACAAATAACAGCCCACCTGCTCCGTCAGTTCGTTAATATTCAAGCAAGCAGTTAAGACATTAAGAGCCATCTCCATCCCTGAAGCAAGTTCATTTTCAAATTGACGACGTCTGTCAGGACGAACTGCTATTTTGTAGTTGAGCACCTCCTGGTAGCAATGGCAAATAGTAGTTACCAATTTTATCAAAGAAACCCAATCAAATTAAGGGAGTTTGTTAGTTGTGTCATATAATATCACTACAAATCTCTAATCAAGGAAATAGTTGAACTAAAACTGAAAATCAACTCCAAGCAATATGCGTGTGTAGATATAGATTGTGTGCAGAGGAGTGTGTGTGTGTGTGTGTGTGAGAGAGAGAGAGAGAGAGAGCAATAAAAAGATTTTCCGAACACGAATGGATCCGAAAATACCTCAGGCAAGACTCTGAGAAGCTCCAGAAAACTTGGTAGAAACTCAGGATGAAAATTCATTCCGTCCCTTATCCAATTTATAATACCACCATCTCCCCAGTCTTCGGCTGCAACATGAACAGCCAAGGCTGCCACTGCAAGGCTAATCTATAAATCAAGGCATTTAGCACAGCACGCTCTTTGTAATAATATAACAGGATTTATGTGTGGAAAATATAAGTATTACCTGAGTTCTAACTTTAGGAGGCCCCTTGTGAAATGATTTTAATAAGGTCTGCATTTAAGAATCCCACATAAAACTATCGTAAAAGACGAATAATGAATCAATGAGAATGCATCCACACAGCAGCTGATATTCAAACATACTGGTAAACAGAACTATAGCAAATTAATTTAAAAATGATTTCCATTTGCACAGAGCAAATGTTTGGAACTGACCTAGTTTCAGCATTCCTTTCGAAAAAGGAAGTTGACATCAATAATTCTTTTCATAGCAACAATTAAACCTAAATGGTAATATCTTGATCTTGAAACAAGCCTTCGTAATCTAGCTACAGGAGTAAACACGATCCACCCCCATCATCATCTCTATTCCTCAAATAAAATTCATTGTAGTTCCATAGACATACTCAGAGAAGAAAAATAAACACCTTTTCCAGACATTCTTTGTGCAAAATAAATATCTTATTTCATTAATTTATGAGTAGGAGCTTTGTAGAGATCCATATTGCTCCATGTAAAATAAGATGATGCATGAACACATACATTATAATAGAACTTTTTCACTGTCATTTCAAAGGAGAGTATATTCCTGCGAATCTCTAGGTAAAAGTTCACCACCAACCACACAGTAGCCATGAGAAACAAACTGCTACTATCGGTGGTTATCAATTTGTTTCAGCCTACAACATTTAGAAAAATAGACAGATCCTATATGAAAACACAAGAAATAAAAGGATGAAATGAATGAAGACATATTTGAACTATAACCCTGGGTTATTAATGTGAACATGCAATAGCACGGAGAATGGACCCAAACTTCAAACAAAAAAATAACTAAGTCAATGCAAATGAAATGTGTATTCATCTCCCCGAAATTGAATTCTGCAAAAGGTAAACTAACTTACATTTAATGAATCCCTTAGCGGACGAAAAGCTTCAGAAGGAAGTTCTTCAAAATCCCGTTGAACCTGTTGATCAGATAAAGAAGTACACGAACCAAATATTGGCATAAAAAGAATGTTTTACCACCTCATTTTCACAAATCATCAATTGGCATTGGTGAAAATTCAAATGGAGAAACAGATAAGTATGGAAAAATAAAAAGATTACCTTGCTTCTGAGAGTTTGAGAACAAAAGATTAGGGTTTCTTGATTGCTGGCAGGATCATGAAGCAAATTATCGGCCACCTAACCACAGTAAACATGTAAGCATCATAACTGCCACTTGAGGCTCTTGAAAGAAATTAAGGAAGATATTTTTCAATGAAACATATATACATACTTGAAATAGAAAAATCAATCCAAGATCATGACAAAGGTTACTTAAATTGACATCACACAGCTTAAGTTTATATCTATAATAATTATCACGACGAGATATCTTCACTGGTACAGAGATTTAATCTTGGACTCAACCGGTTCATTCTTGTTAATCGAACTGTGAAAACAAGTATAAAAAAAATAGTCGCCTGCAATACAAAGACAAATTGACCAATAAACACTAAACAGCTCGTGATTTTCCCCTTCTTCCCTAGGATAAGCAGTGCGAGAGTTTTTAAATAAAGAAAGGCATACCTATCAAAAACAAAATAATAATAATAATATAATAAAGAAAGGCATAATTATTAGATGCAAGCCTTATTTACCATTTGATTCCTTCTTATATTATTTTCTCTTTTCGTAGGCTGTACAATTGTGAAGTCCATGTAATACGAAATGTTTAGAAAATCTTTCTTGAAAAACGATTACGACGTAGCAAGAACAACTCCTATCCAAATCTTCCTTCTTGGGATCATTACTCAAAAGATAGCTACATCCGCCTGTAATATGAATAACTGAGCACCAGATTGATTGTGAAACAAGAGCAATCCGCCAATGGTTTAAAAACCATTATTTCCAAATTTCTTCTTTGCTGAAATAAAGGCTAGTGGATCAGCTGGGACTTTAAATTTACTACATTAGGCTGTGAAGGGATTGATGATTTACATGACGCCATTCCCTATCAATGTTTCAAATAAAGAACATTGATTTTAAACTGTTTTGATCTACATGCCACCAGAGCAAACACTTGGTTGACTCTAATGTTAGCCCTTGCGGCCAACGCGTGAAAGCATTTCAAACAAACTTGAGAGGGGTCAAAATGTCTCAGAATATGCCACGTTATGTGAGACAAAATACAGCCCAAATCGACGGTTCCAGGATTCGGGAAATAAAACATTCCAAGATCCTCCGCGACAAACTGAAATTGGTGCAGCTCAATAAGATAAAAGAATCTCTTGTCCATGACCCTTTAACTGCTAAAATTATATTTCCCCACGGAATGTGAAACCCCTTTTCAAAATAGCAAAATGGTATCTATATTTTTGGCTTCTATTCGTACCAAAAAAAACCCTTTTGCCACACAGGAAAGACGACAAAAAATAGAATACATATTACACAAACTTTTTGGCCACCATAACTGCAAAAAGTGTGTTTACTGCAGTTTACCATGACCACAATAGTATGGCCACCATAAACCCCAGCGTCAAAGTTTAGAAGGTACAAACACTTGCATATTTGTGTGTAAAACTGTGGCCATCTAAAGCTTCGTCATTTAAGTTTTACGAAATATTGCAAAATCATTGCCCAATGTAAAATCTCAAAAATTTCAAATGTTCCAATTTCTTTTCTTCCAAAAACAATCCAAGATTTTATCTTTCTTTTCGTCCAAAAACAATCCAAAATTTATAGAAAGATTTATTTCTGTGTTTTACGTTCGCTTAGTGTATCGTTTCAATTAATCACAAAAAAAGAAATTGAACTCATATCCAAGTCAAATCCCGAAAATCAATTAGCTCAATCAGTAATTAACATTTCAGTCACAAAATTTAGATTTGTTAAAAAAAAAAAAAAACTGAATTAAGAATGGGATTTGAATTGTGTCGAAGCATCATTTAAAAACCTGCCAAGCGTCGATGGTGCGCTGGAAATCTTGAAGCCATCGATCGGCTTGCATGCGAACGGCGTCGTCAGGATGATGGTACAGTGCACTTAGGGCTTCTTTCACTGTGTTCTGCAGCTCCATCTCATTCAAAATTCCAAATCGTTGATAGATAGATACAGATAGGTATACTCAACTGTGTATATATTATTGTATACTACTCTCTACTGTATCTCTCTCTATATATATATATCTGTGTATATATGCTTCCGTCTCTCTCTCTCTCTGTCTGTGTCTAAGATCTCTATCTGTCTCGAATTTATGTATCTGAATGTGGTCTTTGTTTTTCTTCCTGAAATCGCTTTTGGTCTTCTACCGCTTTTTATATTTTGAAAGGGCATCTTTTAAGAAGCGTCTAAGAGTTTTTTCCTTCTGAGGAATTTGCGTTTGTGGTCCCTATACTTTGACATTCAGAACGATTAAATTTTCTCCAAACTTTTGTTTTAGCCTTTTGGACAAACTATCTAAAGTTAGGTTGAATGACCTCTTTTTACTTACACGCAATAGTTTATTCGTCAAATCATAATATTTATTTTAAAACAATTAAAAAAAAGGAAAGAGTAATAAATGAGAGAGTTTTGTATTCGTCATTATTATCATTGTTGTGACCACTCAATCGCCATATTTGCCTTCGCTACCCTTATTGAAAAAAAAAAGAGTTGTTTTATTGTTTGTCAAACATGGGCTTAATAAGCTACAATTTCTACTTCTTTAATTATTCAAATTATATTTGAAATTAATAGTCATCAATATATTAAAAGTTATGCACATGTTTGAACTCCATTTTTGGCTAAGAAATGCACTTTGGAATAGTAAATTGATGGAGAATGTGTTATTAAAATAAAAGGAAAAATTTTGAATTTACATGTAATATTATCTTATTGAAAAATGTGTGATTGAGAAAATAGAGAAAAATGTATTTAGAAAAAAAATGAGGATCAAACAGGAGCTATGTTGAATAAAAAAATGATGAAAAATAAATAAATATTTATTGAAAAACGCAAAATAAATAGACAAATGATAAGGATTATTGGAGTATATAAAAATTTTAGTCTTTAAATTTAAATATGATATCTAAAAATATAAAGTTTTTTGGAGATACTATAAACATGTAGTTAACATATGTATACTATTAATAATTGGAGTTCCGTCTTAAAACGTCAACCTTATTAAGATGACTAATCAAATCATTTATAAGTTGGTCTATGTTTTCATCTTTATTTGATGTGGGATTTTATCCCTTAACATGCCTCCGCAAGATGGTGGCTTTTTTGAGCAGACCATTCTTGAAATCTGCGTACTCAATTTTTTTGAGTCTTAGTCGGATCAAATTGTTCGTTGGAGCTTAATAGGCTTTGATACTATGTTAAGAATTGGAGTTCCATCTTAAAAAGTCAACCTTATTAAGAGAAATAACACAATCATTTATAAGTTAGTTTATGTTTACATCTTTATTCGATGTAGGATTTTATCCCTTAACATGCCCCCCAAGATGGTGGCTTGTTTGAGCAAATCAATCTTGAAATTCGTATGCTTATTTTTTTAGTTTTAACCGGATCAAATTACTCGTTAGAGTTTAATGTGCTCTGATACCATGTTAAGAATTGAAATTTCATATCAAAAGGTCAGCATTATTAAGAGGGGTAGTCAAATCCTTTATAAGTTGGTTTATATTTTCATCTTTATTCGATATGAAATTTTATCCCTTAACATATACAAGTAAGTAATAGCATCGAAATGCTTAGCGAAATAAATCATAATGGTCATGACAAGTCTCTAAGTAGTCTCTGACAGCCGTGAACACTCAAGTTATAATGTAACCATATAAAAACCAAAAATGTATGGTGTGGTTGATTGAAAAAATCACGCATTGTTACTCCAATATCATATCCTTCGCGTGCATCGTCATTTATAGTACAAAAACACAAAAATATTTTTCACTAAGCCCCTGTGATTTTGCTAAAATCAGATTTTTATAACATTTGATAAAAAGTATGGTTAAAAATTGATAAAAGTTGTAGTTCCCATAAAATTTGCGATTATATTAATTGTCAACTTTATTAACTTTTTTAGCTAAACCAAACAGGGGCTAAATTTGACAAATGATATGTATATCCAAATACACGAGGGCTCGAATCCCATTATTGTGCAACATGAGTTAAAAATACACGTGTCCAATCTCATTGTGCCTAGCATAGTCTCAATCCCGCTTGAGATTACATTGACATGAAAAACAAAACAGGGTCTAGTGTAAGTAAACGATGCTCGTCATGTCTATACAAATTCCTATTGCTATAAATGGGACCTTCTAACACCACTTGTATAGGATGCTAGACTTTGAAACTCCCTATTATCGACTTAGGGTTTGTTTCGCGTGACTTTTGCTTTTACTTTTTATAGAAGAGATTTGAAGAAAGTTATCAAGAGCATGTTTGGGAGTGATTAAAATTCAATTAAAATTGAAAGTATAGCCGTTATTGGATCCCACCCGTCTAATAAAAGTTAACAATAACGGCTAGTTTTTCAATTTTAATCTGATTTTAATCTATACCGAACACACCCTTAATTTTTATTTTAAAAAGTGATTTTTAAAAGCATTTCATATTCAGAAAGTACTTTTAGAGAAAATATCATTGGACCACCTTCCTCTAAAAACTCTTCAACTACTAAAAGTGCTTTCATAAAATTAGTCAAACAGGTTCAAAAGCAGTTTTTCTCTCTCAAAAGCTTAATTAGACTTTTTAAAAATCATGTTAATGAACCAATAGACTACCTTTAATAATTTTCAAAATCTTATACGGTATATATTGTTCAAGTGTACGGTACGATCATAAAAGGACTCATTCATTATCAAAAATCTATATATTCAATACGAATGACAATATGCTATGCCAATACCTGTCATGACAATGGAAGTTAATCCAAAACTAGTGAAGGTCAGCAAATTACACAGTGCTCTGTAGTGCAACTAAAGTAATTGATCTTTACCACAATAGTGTATAGTTGAATTAGAACTAAGATATCGGTATGTCATATGTATCTTCTAACATAGTTAAGAAGAATTTAAGCCCCCTGTATAGGCGAGATTTTGATACAAGATTTTAATCAAAATTGTTGTCATTACGCAGTGGTATGTCAATGAAAGAGTAGCAATTTGTTGTCGTTAACATTTAATTCCGTATTTTGCAAATAGGGACATTTCTATCTTTGGATTATTGTTGAGTCAATAATGATTGCAAACCTACCTTCGTGTCCAATGTTCAAAAAATGAATTAAAATCTAAAAAAAATTGCTTAATCTCTCGGTGATTTATTACAACATAAAAGTAGGGCTTTAAGGCCATTACGGTCAACAATTTTAATTAACCGCGATACATAAGCTAGCCCTTGCTTGAGTCCTATTTTTTTAATATACATTCTCTAATAAAATAATTTTACGCATAAATCTAAATTTTTTTCTTATTTTTTAACCACACATTCTCCAAAAAATAAACATTATTCCAAATTCAATGACACATTCACGTAATAAAATATTTTGCATGTAAATTTAAAATTTTTTCTGCTTTTTAACTACACATTCTCCTAAAAATCTCTATTTTCGCCGAATAATAATTGTCAAACAGGGGTTAAGTACACGTAGATCCTTTTGATGAAATCATGCAAGTTCAATTAATTGAAAATGAGCAAGTTTCATGGAGGTTCTCAGAGCCATGCCTAAGGTATGAATAAAGGTATTTGCTACTTAGGTCGACAATTTATTTTATTTTTTAAATTTAGGTCCTGTTTGTCTCTCATTATTTCAAAACATTATTTGCTACAGTAAGATTATTTACCACGCATTCACGTAATAAAATATTTTACACACAAACCAATAAAGTTATTTTAAATTTCAACAATACATTCCCCAAAAAAATACTATTTGTTACTCCATTTCTTCTATAATAATGGGAGACAAACATACACTTATAAGTATTTGTTGCGAGCACAAAACATCAAGTATGCGTGCTCATAACTCATTTTATTTCAATGGTTCGATAGACCGTTAATTCAGGTAAATGGTTCGCCTGTCATTTTCCATTCCTGAAACAAAACCGGGGACCTTTACCTTTCTTCTTGCTCATACAGCCACAACTAGATACATATACATATATAGTAAGAAAAGGGAGACATTTAGAGAGGGGAGGAGAAAGGTCGTGATCTTGGGTTTGCCTGTTCTTACCCTTAGAGAGCCACTAAATAATGTTGTACCATAAAAAGTAGGGCATTAAGGCCATTACGGTCAACAATTTTAATTAACCGCGATACATAAGCTAGCCCTTGCTTGAGTCCTATTTTTTTTAATATACATTCTCTAATAAAATAATTATACGCGTAAATCTAAATTTTTTTCTTATTTTTTAACCACACATTCTCCAAACAATAAACATTATTCCAAATTCAATGACACACTCACGTAATAAAATATTTTGCACGTAAATTTAAAATTTTTTCTGTTTTTTAACTACACATTCTCCTAAAAATCTTTATTTTCGCCGAATAATAATTGTCAAACAGGGGCTAAGTACACGTAGATCCTTTTGATGAAATCATCCAAGTTCAATTAATTGAAAATGAGCAAGTTTCATGGAGGTTCTCAGAGCCATGCCTAAGGTATGAATAAAGGTATTTGCTACTTAGGTCGACAATTTATTTTATTTTTTAAATTTAGGTCATGTTTGTCTCTCATTATTTCAAAACATTATTTACTACAGTAAGATTATTTACCACACATTCACCTAATAAAATATTTTACACACAAACCAATAAAGTTATTTTAAATTTCAACAATACATTCCCCAAAAAAATACTATTTATTACTCCATTTCTTCTATAATAATGGAAGACAAACATACACTTATAAGTATTTGTTGCGAGCACAAAACATCAAGTATGCGTGCTCATAACTCATTTTATTTCAATGGTTCGATAGACCGTTAATTCAGGTACATGGTTCGCCTGTCATTTTCCATTCCTGAAACAAAACCTGGGACCTTTACCTTTCTTCTTGCTCATACAGCCACAACTAGATACATATACATATATAGTAAGAAAAGGGAGACATTTAGAGAGGGGAGGAGAAAGGTCGTGATCTTGGGTTTGCCTGTTCTTACCCTCTACGATCATGATCCTTCTCTTCCTTGCCCTTATAGGGAAATAGAGCTGACTAATCTTAAGACGAGGATAGAGAAACTCAGGTCTTGATCCCTCTATCGTGATCTTTTCCCAGAAAACTCTGGCATCACTAATTTGGGGGTTTTATTGAATCATATCAATATGCCTTCGAGAGAAATGAAGGGCTCCGTAGAAAAAAAGTTAGGAAAATTTGCAAATTTCATGATATATGCTGTTCTTGATTGGGTTATGATAATTTTACTATTCATGGATGGGTTTGTTTCATTTATTTCAAATGAATTTGCCCAGTTTTTCGAATTGAGAATTCCATGCTTGATTTGCACAAGATTTGTGCGTAAGAATTTCAAGTTTTGCTACAATAATTCCCTTTGTGAAGTTCACAAAAAAGACATTTCTGCCCTTGCATATTGTTATGTGCACAAGAAATTATCTGATCTTGGTAGTATGTGTGAAGGGTGCCTTCTCTCCTTTGCAACAGAGACGGGTTCCTCTGATTGTGGTAAATACAAGTCTCTAGTGGGCATTTTGCACAAGGATATTGATTGTTTTGTTGAGGGTTGTGATTCAAAAAATCATATGAAATTAATGAAAAATAAGGATAATGGGGAGCAAATTGAGGAGAATGGGAGAGTTGTTTCAAAGTGTTCTTGTTGTGGGGAGCCTCTTAAAACAAGAACATCCTCGACTTTGTCCATGAACGCCCCCACGCCATCCCCTCGATTACCCTTGTTGGCTAGCAGAAATGAAGAAGGACGCAGTGGGGAATTGCCTCATATTAAGTATAAGGAGCTTAATTTTAATTCAGCAAACGAATCAGAGGTTCAAGAGGATGAAAATGTGTCAAATGGAGGTAATATCAGGGCAATTTATTTATTTATTCATTTTTTTTTTCACTTATTTACTTTCTGTTTTTGATAAAATATTTTGTTTCACTCATCTACTATTTAGTGTTGTCATGCACTAACCGTTGATGACGGTATAGAAAAACTGAAAAGAGTAAGAAAATTTGTATTATTTTTCTGCCTATGAATTGAAATGTGGCATTTCTTCATGATAACCTGTGCAAAGATAGATAAGTGGTAGACACGGTGGAGGTTATAGGCCTAGATGGAAGAGGCTTTGACGGCTTTGATTGAACATGATTTAGGTAGTGAAGAAAAAAAATATACCGGTTAGAAACTATGAAGCGAAGATAAACTAGACAAAAGCAGCTCTACATTGTCTCTATCTTATACCAAATTTGGAACTCTCAGTGGATTCTTGTCCGTCCTACAAAAGAAATCTAACATCAGCTGGGAACTCAAAATATGGAAAAAACGGTTTCAGAAATATTTATATAGTCATATTTGACATATATCTGTGACATTTTGATAAACTCTACTGCACCCTCTAAAGAGTGAGTTTGTTGTGCTAAAGATTATCGAGGAACTATGTACCGAATATTTTAAGTTGAAATGGTTTTCATTTGATATTTTACAGCAGGTAGAGAAGATACCAGTGCTGCTACGGTTCCATTACTACCTGATTCTGAGGGTATAAAGGAAGGTGGAGTCAGAACCCCTAATTTTAATAAAGGAAACAATTTTTTTGGAATCCCATTGTCGGATTCAGCTCAATCCAGTCCTAGGTGGGAGAGCATGGGTACTCGAAAGCTCTCTGTCGATGATGCAAGTGCTCTAAATGGAGCAGACGGTGACTCCATTTTGCATTGTTTGAAGAGACAGGTTCGGTTGGACCACAAGTCCCTGATGGCATTGTACATGGAATTAGATGAAGAAAGAAGTGCTTCTGCAGTTGCAGCAAACAATGCAATGGCCATGATCACCCGATTACAAGCTGAGAAGGCGGCTGTCCTCATGGAGGCCTTGCAGTATCAGAGAATGATGGAAGAGCAGGCAGAGTACGATCAAGAAGCTATACAAGTATTGAAAGATGTGCTTTTAAAGAGTGGGGAAGATGTAAAGCTTTTAGAGTCTGAATTTGAAACCTATACAGAAAAATGTGGACCTATCAAGAAAGAAGATCGTGAGATCTGTGAGGTTGATGAAGATTATCAAGAGTTCAAATACCATTCATTTTCATCATTTAGCGAGAAATCAGACTGTGGTAACTCAAGTGGGGTGAATAAAAATGACCATGAGCGTTCTTATGATCGATCTTTGGAATATGCAGGACGGTCTTCGGAATCGGATGAATTGTTGTTAGATTTTGAGGAAGAGAGATCTCACCTTCTAGCCCTTTTGACTGATCTTGAGAGGACAATGTATACATCTTCAGATGAAGGATCAGATTCTTCGGAGGTTGATAATGTTAAGCATGGAGATGCTGCCAGAGGTATTTCCAGCTGCTTTCAATTCTTTTCTTGCCTTAAACTTTTATAGCATGTTTGGCATGCTCGATTTGACAGTACATACCACGATCAAGAAAGAAAAAGAAGTTAAAAATTTTGTTCAGAGCTATCTAGTATTAGGTACCAAACATGCTCTTATAGCGTCTGGCTTTAGTTTACCGGATTTTTTTTTTTTTAAATTTTCCTCCTCGGATCATCCTCGAATTTGCTTAACATTATGTGGTTTTCCATGCTGACAGGTGAAAATGAAAATAAGGTCATCCTTACACAAGAAGTATCTCTAGTTAGGGAGAGGTTGAGAGCCATAGAAACCGATAGTGGCTTCTTAAAGCATGCGGCTATGACACTCCAGAAAGGGGCTGAGGGGACTAGACTCTTGACTAAGATAGCTCAACATCTTCGGAAAGTTAGAACCGCTGACAAAATTCCATCCGAAGAGACGAATGCATGACATTTTGTCTTAAAGGGAATAGCAGGTCGACCAATTCAATTTTTTATTAAACATTTATCAGTTTTATCCTATTACAGACGATACTAAGTATGAAAAGAACTGTGAAGAGGCTACCAGGAAATGTCATACCAAGTATGAAGGAAACATCTGTAGAAACTATCCAGTTATGTCTATTAAGTTATCTAGATTAGGATTAAGGTTAATCCAATGTTTCTTTTGAGGTTATTGTCCTATATGTGAGAAAATGCTAGGATAGCTGATGAATGTATGAAGGCCCAACTATAATAGCCACAACTATATACTGAACATGTCTTGACGTCCATTTGAATACTTGAATTTATCTGGAAAGAAGAGAGCTTGGGTTAGAGGGTGTTGCATTTCTTGTTTCTTTTCTGCTACTTTCTTAGAAGGACTGTATGTGCCGTCAGTGCCGGTTCTGCGATTTTCGGGCCCTGCGGAGAATTTCATAAATTAGGTCTCAAAATTGTAGTAAGCATGCAAAATCTATAAGTGTATTATGGAATCAATAGTTAACTTATAAAATGTATTATACAAAAAAATTATACTATAATCAAATAACAAAGTTGGTAATGTTCCAAACAATCAAACGATCAGTTAAATACTATTCGTCTTGCGATTTTAAAGGCAAAAATATCAATCAAATTTGAATAATCTACATGTTCAACAATGTCTTTCTTAATTGATAATATAGTTAATCCATATAGTCGATCGGAGATAAGGTATGGTTAACAAAATTTTGTACCTAATATAAGTATTTGAGATGTCTTCAAGTATTGTAGCACTTCAATTACTCTCGTTGCTTCATTTGATAGTACTAGTAGTAAGCACGTGCGTTGCACGTAAAAATATCAAATGAATGATATGCGTAATATTTTAGAAATACTAATATTGTTTTTAAAGTAGTTGAAGGTAATTGATATTGTTAAATGAAAAATTAAAATTGTAAAATAGTATATACATACATACATATATGTATATAATGTGAAAATATTAAGGTTGTGTTTGGTAGGGATTTTTGGGGGAATAATTGATTTTTGAATAGTGATATGATGGGAAATGTGTGGTTGAAAAAGAAGAAAAAAGTATTGATATGATGGAAAATATTATTTTATTGAAGAATATGTGGTTGAAAATGAGAATTGATTTACTGTAGAAAAGGAGAATCTGTACCAAACAGATGTTAAATAAACTTAAATGTAATGTTTTTTTTTACAATAACACTTCTTTACATACAATATTTTTTCTGAAAACATTCTACATTGTTTCTTCATTTTATTTTCTGCTTTTACCAAAACTTTTGTTGTTTGCATAGAAACTCTGCAAGAATGTGCGACATATAATTGCCCATTAGATAATACATGTTTAGAAGTGTATATTCCAATAGTAGATAATATTTGTCCTTGTGCCTTGTTGATAATCATTGCAAAGTATAAACGTATTGTAAATTGTTTCCTTTTGAATTTGAATGGATACTCTTCATCATTTGCTGAAGTTAATGGAATGCGTGGAAGGAAAACTTGTTTTCCAACATGTTGTCTAAAGATTAATTCTGCATTGATAATATGTTTCTTGAAATCACGACAAATCATTTTTGTTCATCACAAACATTGTTTGATGGGTCTAAACTCTCCAAGAGCATCATTAGACAATTTCTTTTCGAGATTAACTTATTTGATGGGATACCATTTGACAATAATGTATTTAGGAACTCCTCTTTGATAAAATTGATTTGTATCATCTATTGATTCTTCAAAGTTGACAGATTCTTCAATTTCTCCAGAAAATAACCTGATTAGTTTGTCATCGAGATGGTCAACACGCTCATTTTTTATTGAAAGAATTCCACGTTGTGTCACATAATCAGAAGAATATGCATTTTCCATTAAACCTAGGAACACAACATTGATTAAGTGTTTAACTCCGAAATTTCAATATCGTCACATGCTATAACTATCTCTTTTGGTAGCTGATGAAGTCATCATCTATATAAGGTTCTGTTCTATTACCAATTTTGATCAAGTATTGTACAAATCAATTGTCCAATATTATTTTTAATATGTAATATTATGTTTGAAAA